TCGACGCTAAATCGACGCGAAATCGGCGCTGTCTCATGGACTCCCAGACGCTAGTCGACGCTAACCGACGCTGAAGCCGGAGTTGAGAGGGTGCACCTGGCTCCCATGATCTGCTGCCGAAGCAGCCGAAGAGAGAAGCGGCGGGAGTAAAACACGCACACGCACACGCACACGCACACACACAAACACAAACACACACACACACCACACACACACATAGGCGGATGAGGGGGCGACCACAGGGGAGCTCCCGAGCAAGCTCTCTCGCGGTGGCAGCGAGGCGCATCGAGCACGGCGGCAGAGTAGCGAAGCGTGTGCGCCTCGGTGCGCCTCTCGCTGCGCGCGGCTGCTCCCCTCTCGCCTCCAGCAGGTGCCGGTGGGGCCAGCATGGGCAAAGGAACGAGCAACGACATGAACATGAAAACTCGGAGGTCCTCGCGGAGTTCTCAAGTCGGCGCTGCGACCCCGCTGGCGGCGCCTCCGGCGCCGCCCATGGCGTGCTCCGCGCGCCAGGGAGGAGCAGTACAGCGCCGATCCGAGAAATCCGCGAGGACCTCCGAGTTTGTATGTTTATGTCATTGCTCGTTCCCCTAATCTCGCCATCGCTGGGACGTCCATTCCCCGGGCACCGTGCGAGGCGCCGTGCGAGTTTTGATGTTTATGTCATTGTTCGTTCCCCTTAGTGGGGGAGGACGGCGCACCGTGCGAGGCGCCGTGCCCTCTACTGACGACGCTCGCGGGGCTGGCTGTGTGCGCAGGCCCCGCCGCATGCTCGGGGAACGCCCTGGCTCCTGAGCCGCCCACCTCTGCCTTCTTTTCCTTCGGCCGCGTCCCTCCTCCCTCCTCCTCCTCCTCCTCCTCCTCCTCCTCCTCCTCCTCCTCCTCCCTCCTCCTCCTCCTCCTCTCCTCCTCCTCCTCCTCCTCCTCCTACCTCCTCCTCCTCCTCCTCCTCCTCCTCCTCCTCCCTTTTCCTCCTCCTCACTCCCCTCCTCCTCCTCCTCCTCCTCCTCCTCCTCCTCCTCCTCCTCCTCCTCCATGGTGGCGCAATTCGGCCCCAACGGTACCCACGTTCATGCCTTGCATCGCCAGCGCAGTCACCCTCTGCCTAGCCGCCGACGGACAAAGTGTGCGCAGGCCCTCCCTCTCCTGCGCAGGCGCCGCAGGGAAGATCCAGCGTCGGCGACACGCACGGCGAGACGCTGGGCAAAAGTGGCCTCTGCTGGCTTCGGCTGGCCGGTCGCTGCTCGCGATGCGACAGCGAAGGCCTGCGTGCTCGAGCTCGCTCCCCAGCCCGAAAGTGACGGTGGGGGCGGCAATGCAGGGGGGAACGGGTCCTCGGCGGGTTGGGCCATAGGGCCCTTATCGGTGATGAGTGGGCGATTGGGTGTCGGTGCGCCTATCCCCCCCCTAAGATTGCTCCTTGGCTTTCGGGCCATACCTGGGCTCTCCAACGGCCGTTCGGGACGGTCCCGGCGCCCCCTGAACGCCCTCGGCGTGGCGCAGCCGCGGAAGGAAAGGGAGAGGAGGAGGAGGAGGAGGAGGAGGAGGAGGAGGAGGAGGAAAAGGAGAAGGAGGAGGAGGAGAAAGGCAAGGATGAGGACGAGAGGTGGGAGGGGGACGAGGATGAGGGGGGACAGAGGCAGATAAAGAGGAGGAGGAGGAGGAGGAGGAGGAGAGGAGAGAGGAGGAGGTGGCGGAGGAGGAAGGAGGAGGAGAGGAGGAGAGGAGGAGAGGGAAGATGGATCGAGGAAGGGAGGAGAAGAGAGGAGAGAAGAGAGAATCAGTCCGCAGGGGGAGGAGTAGGAGGAGGAGGGAGGAGAGGAGGAGGAGAGGAGGAGGAGGAGGAGGAGGAGGAGGAGGAGGAGGAGGAAGGAGGAGGAGGGAGGAGGAGGAGGAGGAGGAGGAGGAGGAGGAGGAGGAGGAGGAGAGGAGGGGAGGAGGAGGAGGACGGCGAGTACAGCGACGACCTCGCGGCGACGGCGACGACGAGAGATGCGGGAGGAGGGGGCGAAGGGGTGGGAGGGAAGAGAGGGACGACGAGAGGCAGCGAGGTCGAGAGGCTCCCAGCAGGGGCCAGTTGAGGTACTGCAGCACCACCAGCACTAAGGTGTACCACATCTGGAACAGCACCGCGAACAGGGGGCCGGCCCACAGGACTATGGTGAAGTTGAAGAGCAGGCCGTCCTCCGCGCAGGCGAAGTTGCCCACGTAGCATCTCGGGGGGCAGGAGGAGGAGGAGGAGCAGGAGGAGCAGGAGGAGGAGGAGGAGGAGGAGGAGGAGGAGGAGGAGGAGGAGAAAGGAGGGAGGAGGAGGAGAAAAGGAGGAGAGGAGAAAAGGAGGAGGAGGGAGGAGAAGGAGGAGGAGGAGGAGGAAGGAGGAGGAGGAGGAGGAGGAGGAGGGAGAAGGAACCCCGAGACCCTGGCGTCGCATGTGTGTTCGCAACGGGCGACGTTCTACCTCGCCTCGGGCCCCGGGGGACCTTCGCGGATCGACCCTGCTTGACGACGACGCAGAGAGACGGGGTCTGTGGCTCCGGTCGTGGCTCTTCGCGATGATGCATCTCTGTGGCAACGTCGGAGATCGAGGAAGGAGGAGGGGCAGGGATGAAGGGGAGGGGAGGGGAGGAAGTCCAGGAACAGGAGGGGGAGATGGAGGAAGGGGAGGCTTGAGAGGAGGAGGGGGAGTACGAGGACGAGCGAAGGGGAGGGTACGTATGGGGTGGGGGGAGTGGGGGGAACAGGACACTGGAATGGAGACGCAGCAGTATTACCATGAGGATCAGGAGGGGGGGAGAAGGAGAAAGAACTGGAGGAGGGGATCTATATATATATATATATATATATATGTGCGACCAATAAGATGTGACAGAATCCAGGGGAATGGGAGGAGCGGGAGGAGCAGGAGAAACAAGCGAGGGCGGAGGAGGGGAAAGGAGCGGGGGGACAACGGGGATGAAGGACTCGGGTCCAGAAAAGTGGCCAGCGCTGGGGCCAGAGCGCTACCATGAACGACGGGAGCAGAGTGCCGAGTTTCAAACGAGGCACACGGTGCGGCGGGAGCACCTTTTGAAACAGCGAAGACGCTCCGATTGAAACGACAATGTGACACGTCAGCGTTGGCAATACTGTGTACCAGCACCGCACGGGAAAGAACAGGGATGAGTATTTTGTCGGCGCGCCGCCCTGGGAGAGAGGACAGTAGCACGCGTCTCGAACAATTGTGGAGGCGTGTGTGGTGGGGGGGGGAAGCGCAGGGAACGGACCACGGACGCCCCCGTTCAGGCATCCCTCTGGTGCCGAGGCAGCACCTGTCGTCCAGCGGCCCGAGGAACCAGAGCGCCTGCGGGGGTGAAAAAACGCCCGACCGACCTGCCCCTCCTACGGCCTGCGAGGGGGCACGATGAGCAAAGGCGGGGGGGAGGAGCAGGATGTCAACGAGGAGATGCAAGAGGGTCGGAGGGGCGGCAGCATCAGAACCGACATGGAGAAGAGGAGGAAACGGAGCACCATCACTACTAATCCCGAGTAAGCCCACGACGCTACAACGCACCCCCCCCGTCCCAAATCCCCCTTTCCCAGACATCCGGCTGCTCCAATCTCTTCCATGCGTGGGCCCCAAAAAGCTCCAGGCCACTTTCCCGGCACCGGCTCTTCGTCGTGGGTCCTTCCTTGACGCCCCCGACCCCGCCGCCCCCATGGCTTCTTGGGGCGTCGGATCTCAGGGCTGACACACCTCGAAGTCCCAGCCGACTGTTCCTTCCGCGGGGGGGCGAGCGCCCGCCGGGCACGCCGAGGCGCCCGGCGGGCCTGCCCGGGGCCCACTGATCTCTGCCAGGAGCGCGGCGGGGCAGGGCGGCAGCTGCCGAGAACGCGCCCACCGGCAGCACCGCTTGGCGGCCGGAGGTCGCCTCCGAGGGCTGCCGCAGGGCTGCTCCCTCCCAGCACGGACAGACTGGGCGGGGCGCGCCCTGCCGCGGCTGCACCGTGAGGGATCTGGCAAGGAGGAGGCGAGGAGGGAGGCAAGGGAGGAGGAGGGGGCGCCCCCGTTTTTCGGGGGCGCGCAAACATGGACTAGCGATCCATGGATTTCCCATGGAAACGGGACCCGTCGCTAATCCACGTCCATTTGATCCATGTTTGCCATCGCCTGAGTTTTTGGAAGAAATCGCACGTAGAGAGCAGAACATCCTCCTCCAGAATAATCACCCCGACACGCGAAGCCGTTTAGCAAACGAACCCAGAAAAAGGAATCAAACAGGGCAAGGCTGTTCAGGAAACGCCCAGGGCCGTTTAGTAAACGCCAGTTGTCGGGTCCGGGTGGATTTCCCTCCCTTGAGGACAGGCCCCCCATCCGTGTGAGCGTCGCGCACCTTCACAAAGCTGCTGGCCGCATGCAGTGCGGCAGTGCCACTCGAGGCTCCAGTTTGAAAAGAGCTGCCCTCCATCCGCACAAACGGTGCGCAACGAGCAGCTTCAGGTCGTGGATGTTGAAGACGTAACACACGATGGCCCCATTTCGAAAAAAAGCCTTCCGTCCGTGTAACTGTTCGCTCGCGGCGTTTGAAACGAGTGCGCACGGTGCTGAAACCGTTGCGCCGCCTCCTCCTCTTCCTCACTGTCCTCCTCCTCCTCCTCCTCCTCCTCCGCCTCCTTCTCCGCCTCCTCGTCCTCCTCCTCCACTGGGACAACCGCTGCCGCTGCTCGTCCTCGCCGTCACGCCGTCGGCGGCACCATCGTCGCCGCCCGCTTGCGGCGCGGCGATGGCCGGCGCCCTGCCCTTCGCCCCAGCCAGCCCGAACCTTTTTGGGCCCCGTGGCCCCGCGGGCGGACGCCGCCCGCCCCATGCGCGGTGCGAGGGGCGCCAGGGCGGCCGCGTGATCGCGAATGCCGCGAGCACGGGGAGAGGGGGGAGCTGGGGGAATGACGCTGCCCACAGTATGGAGAGGAGGAAGAAAAGAAGAAGAAGAAGAAGAAGAAGAAAAATTACACTGTAATGGCAATCGGAGGATCTCTTGCGCACCGAAGCTCGCTCAGTGGGGACGCAGCCTTCGGGCCCAAACGGTTGCGGAGACAGCACATGTATGTAAGAAGGCACAGGGCGTGGCACCATGATATTTGTAGTGCCCGGCACATACGTGCCCTGTGTCAGCTCACGGGGAAGGCAGCTCTTGGCGCCAAAATCGCCGACCTAAAGCCACTCATCCGAGAATCGACTCGGCACCTCTCGTGCATCACAATACCAGCCTTCCAGGATACTTTACGCAGCGGGCTGTGGCCTACCTTCTCCTTCTCGACACGTCGGGCCTCGAGCCCTTCTCGGGGCGCAGCGCGCACATCCCTGTTTTCATCAGGTCCACCAGCGGCTCCATGTGCGCACCTTTGTGTTTGGTCAGAGCGTTTGCTGGGTTGCGGTCGTATGGGCCCCATCTCGCACGGCCATCTCCGATGTGCAGAACTCCTCGATGATCGGCAACTTCATGGCTGACTGGTTGTCGTCGATTGGCGACTCGTGGTCCAAGCTGTCGGGTAGCCCGTTTCGAGCGCATGATCAGCATGAGCTCCAGTCCAAACGCTCGGACAGCTCGCTTCTGCTCACGTGGAGCCTTGGCACCGGCCTCGGCACCGACCGCCGTCGGCGCAGGATCGTGTCGAAGACCGACCACGTGATGCTCTCGATCATGACCTTGACCCACATGCCCTCGACCAAGGCGTCCGATACCGCGTGCGTCTCAACCAGCTGCGGGCTTGAGCTTTCCGAGTGTGTATCGCACTTCGCCAGTGTATGACATATGATCGACATCCCGTCGCGGCGTCATGCGTTCATGTCCTTCGTGGTGATCCCGATGATTTACCCCCTTCTGGTGTCCTCACGTCCAGATGTGTCCGTACTTGAGTCCGTGAAGAGTCTTCACTGAAGACCGCAATGCGCTTGTCTTCTGGCTTGATGCTCCATATGAAGATCTGGGCATCCACCGCCTTGGCCTGCTTGACCGCTGCGTTCGCCTCCGAGACCATCTCCAGGAGCTTGTCCTTGTAGCCTGCTGGTATGTTGCTCGCCGCTGCCAACAGGTCTGGTCTACCGGCGGCGGCCAACAATGGAGGTTATACAGCTGGTCGGTCCGCTCTTTGGTGTCCACCTCCTCCTTCGGCAGGATGGTCTCCAGCTCGTCGATGAGGTCCAGCTCGCTCACGAAGAAGTGCGGCTGCCAATTGGCCTTCTCGTCGATCTGCGAGTCTGCATAGTAAGGTCCAGCTGAGCTTGCTGGCCGTGGAATTGTCCTGGATGGCGACCCCGAAGCCTGTCTCAACCAGCCTCCCGCTGGTACGGGCGCGCCTACAAGCGTGCAAAGCACATCTGGTAGTGCTGGCGGCGACGTCGGCGCAGACTCCCGATCTGGGATGCCATTCTCGGTCGTGGAACCCCAAATTGCCCCAAGACGGCCCCAGAGGCCCCCAAGACGGTCCAAGAGGGCCCCGAATCGCCCAACGGCTGGTTCAAGACGCCACAGATGGCCTCAAGCGGCTACCAGGACGCTCTAAGAGGGCTCCAAGAGCACGCCAGAGGGCCCCAACAGGCAAACTTCCATGATTGTCCTTAAGTGTTTGGAGGATGCTGGCGTTCTCCCCTCCTCGGTTTCCCTACGCCCCAGGACGGCCCAAGATCCCACCAAGATCGGCACAAGAACCCCCCAAGAGGTTTCCAAAACGGCCCCAAAACGACCAAAGAGGGCCCCAAGACGGCCCTAGAGGCCTCGCATACGGCCCCAGAGGTACCTAAAACGGCCCCAAGAGGGCGCCTACACGGCAACCCGAATGAACATTTCGAGCACCTGGCTCCGAGAAGCTCGCAGGAGGCCCCAAGAGGCCCCCAAGAGGCCCCCACGAGGCCCCAAGATGCCCCCAGGAAGCCCGAAGAGACCACTAAACGGCTCCCAAGCAGATGCCCCCCAAGAGACCCCAACGCTGGGACCCAGAGGCCTACAGGCGCGCTCCGACGAGGCCTCACGAAGCATCCCTGAGGACCCCGCTCCACGTCAGCGTCGTTGCCGCGGCCGCCGCCGCCGCCGCCGCCGCCGTCGTCGTCGTCGTCGTCATCGTCGTCGTCGTCATCATCGTCGTCGTCGTCGTCGTCGTCGTCGTCGTCGTCGTCGTCGTCGTGGTGGTCGTCGTCGTCGTCCCCTTCAAGGTCGGCGGCACGGGCCGCAGGGCCTTGCCAATATTCCCGCCGGTTCTGGCCCCCCGACACGTTTCTAAGGCGGCTGTTCCACTGCGTGCTTCTACAAGTTCCGGATCAAA